TTTATAGGATGGGTAGGGACCCTGCTATAAATAGAATTGTTTTTGCAATTTCCTTTTTGGATTGTTTATTGTGGGTGTATAAAATGCCACAGATTTCCATGTGATGACTATATATCCTGAACCTTTGCTGAATTCATTTATTAGTTCTGCCAGGTTTTTATGGAATCCTTGGGGTTTTCTACCTATAGAATCATATTGTATGAGACCTGAGATCATTTTATTTCTTCCTTTCCCATTTGACTATTTTTATTTCTTTTTCTTGCCTCATTGCTCTGGCTAGGATTTCTAGTACCCTATCAAATGAAAGTGGTGAGTGTGGACATCTTGTCTTGTTTCTGGTCTGAGAGGAAAATCTCTCATTTTCTCTCCATTGATTATGAAGTTAGTTATGGGCTTTGCATACAGTCTTCATTCTGTTGAGATAGTTTCCTTTTATTTTGAGTTTATTGAGTATTTTCATCACGTGAGAACACTGAATTTTGTCAAATGCTTTTTCTGCATAAGTTGAGATCACCATGTGTGGTTTTCCCCCTTCATTTTGTTAATGTGCTGTAATTGGTTTTCGTATGTTGAACTATCTTTGCATTCCAGGAATCTATCCCACTCGGCTGTGGTGTATAACCTTTTCAGCGAGCTGAAATTCTGAATTCTATTTGTCTGCTTGTAAGCATCTGTGTCTTTTCTCTTTTGCACTGCCTGGTTAGAAATTTGTTAGTTTTATTGACCTTTCCAAAGAATCAACTTTTGGTTTCTGTATTAGTCAGCTCTCCATTACTATGACAAAATACTTGAGATAATCAACTTTAAAGAGGAACAGTTTCAGAGGCTTCAGCTTATGGTCACTTGGCCTTGTTCCTTTGGGCCTGTGGCAGCACCATATAGCATGGCAGGAACACGTGGTGAAGAAGGCCTATTCCCCTCATGGTAGCCAGGAAGCAAAAAAGAGAGACAGGATGAAGCCAAAGTCCCAATATCACATCCAAGAGCATGCCACCAATGACCTAACTTCCTCCCGCTAGGACCCACCTCTTAAAGGTTCCACCACCTTCCAATAGTGCCACCAACTGGGGAACAAGCCTTCAACACATGGGCTTCAGGGAACATTCCAGATCCAACTAGAGCAGTTTCTTTGATTATTATTTGTTTTTTCTATTTTCAGTTTCTTTCATTTTTGCTCTGATTTTTATTTCTGTTCTTGTGCTTGTGTAGGGCTTCTGTTACTTTTCTTTCTGTAGACTCCTAAGGTACAAGCTTTGATTACTTATCTTAGATCTTTCCTCCTTCTGTTGTCCTGCAGTCAACACTATGAATTTCCCTTTAAGCACAGTTTTAATCACATCCCACAAATACCCAGAAGTTGGAACTTCATGCTTAACTCATCTTTAACTGCTCTTGAGAATTCTTTGATGGTGTGTTGCTTAGTCTCCAAATATTTGGAGCCATCTTTCCATTACTGGTTCCTAGATTAATTCCACTGTGGTCTGAAAGCACACTTGGCGTGATTTCTATTCTTTCAGGCTCATTTTATGGCCCAGAAAATATGGTGTGTCCTGGTGAGTATTCCACATGAGCTTGTGTATTTTGTCATCGTTGGATCGAGGGTTCGACAAACGTCTTTATTATTAATTTAAGGCATTGGTATTAACATATAGTGAGAATTTAATTTCTATGTGCAAGTACTTTTTAGAAGCCTGGATGAGGCCCTCTGAGGAGATAAATTTAGAAAATAACTACAAAGCCTCAGACTGGAGTGGGCTCTTGTTTGCTGTGCCCTCGAGAGGCAAAGACTTGTATGGATGTGGTAGTGGCTTGTGGTCCCGGCTACTCGGGATGCTGAGGCAGGAGGATCATTTGAGCCTGGGAGTTCAAGGCCAGCCTCTGGGCCACATAGCAAGACCTCTTCAAAAGATGAAAACTTCATGTGCCTTGCAGCCCCCTGTGAGGACATTTCCTCTCCCCTCCCCTCACCTAAGGGACCAGGACAGGGGTGTGACTGCCTGGGGGAGTCTGCTCACTCTTCTAACCAAAGCAAAATCACAGAGGAGCTTCTGTCCCTCACCATGAGTTCACAGACACACCTGATGGGACCCCTGTCCTTTGGGGACCATGGTCATATTAGCCCCAGTAGACTGAAAAGTAGGTCATCTTTGGTTAGACAAATTCTGGGTATCTCAGGAACAAACGGCATTTGTTGATCATTGGTGTTGTAGAGCAAGGCTTCTAAAAGGTAGTTAGAAAACTCTTGATGTATGGTGTGAGACACAGCTCCAAGGACTGAACCACAACTTAGTGGTTCGAGTGATTTTAGTGTCTCTTTTTGTCCTTTTCTCTAGTTCTCATTTTCTGCTATAAGAAAAGCATGTTAATCTTTTTCAGTGAACAGAGCAAACAAATGAACGCAGTAAGTGAATCGTGATGTCCCTTAGTTCTCTGTACTGTGCCTGAACTTGGCATTTTCCTTGCGGAAGACTGCACGGCTGTCATTTGCTGACTGGCCTTGTGGTTTGTGCTTGGCCATTTCTGTTTCCTGCCCCACCATCCAGCACCACCCTGGGGGCGCCTGTATGGGAATGAGGAATGGAAGATAGCCAGCTGTCTACTAAACATTTGCCCTGTACCATTCCCCTGAGTCCTTGCCTTCGTGTGGTCTGACTCTCCACCCAACAACTCTGGGGTCCGTCCCCGGGTCTGCAGTCAGTCAGGGAACACTTCCCCACTCCACGCGCTAGCTGTGTGCCTTAGGCAAGTCCCTTAACCTCTCTGATCCTTGGTGTGCTTTTAAAATGACGACTGTGATGACTGACCACCCATCAAAGCAGAATTAGGGGGTCGTATCATTATTGTTCACGGCCACGACCGTCCTTGTCTGTTTCAGTCTGCAGACATCGACAACCACCACGCGCTCATCGAGTTCAATGAGGCCGAGGGCAGCTTTGTCCTCCAGGACTTCAACTCCCGCAATGGCACATTTGTCAACGAGTGTCACATTCAGAACGTGGCCGTGAAGCTCATCCCTGGAGACATCCTGAGGTTTGGGTCCACCGGACTGACCTACGAACTGGTCGTCGAAAATCCTCCCCAGGTGAGCCCAGGCCACTGTGGGGCAAGGGAGGACAAGGTCCTGGTTATGCTGGGTCTCACCTTCCATGCGTCCTGGTGCCCAGATACAGCCAGAGGGTGGAGGTCCTCGGAGGGTGGCCCTCTGCCATCTCACACTGCACAGGCGTGGCAGTGGCAGCTCTGCCCTATTGTGACATTCAGCCTTATCACTGCAGATTTTGGGAGGTAGGGGAGAGCCTTAGCGCCCTCTAACGGGCACATAATTGCATTACAGCAGCATAGCTGCAATGTGCCCAGCGCAAACTGGGAAGTAGATGTGCCAGTGAAAGACCGGGCCAGTGCTTCCTCCCCAGGCAGGTGGGCTCTGTGACGGGGCCCGGGGTTCTCTGTGTGTCGGGGTCTTCACGTTCTCCAGGATGTGTAGCTTTGAGAGATATTTGTAAACCGTACAATTCAGTATTCAAGTATGAGCCCAACTTGCGATAGCTGTCATTACACCTCAGGCCAGAACTGTTCCCTGGGGACATGGCCTAAGTGACTTTCTCAATCCATGTGAAATATAACCCAAAACTCACCCAGCAGAGCTCAGTCACAGGAGCACGGGGTCACCAGCGAGGCAGTGTATGGGGCGGTTAACAACAACCCAGGCTTTGCCTCAGCCCCACGGTCCACTTACCCACGTGCACTTGAGCAAGCCACAGGACCACTCAGAACTTTGGGTTCTCATCTAAAAGTGGGAGCAATGACAGCAGTGATCTCACAGGCTCACCACGAGGCTCGAATGAGGGTTAAAATCATAAAACTCAGCATAGTGTGAGCATCTCCTGAGGACATGGTCGGCCTGTCTCTCTCTCTGCCCCCAACAACGCTGCATGGGGGAGAACTCCAAGGCCTCAAATCCTTTCTGGGACAGGCTGGGTAGGGTAAAGTTTAGGGAATCTGGCCAGAACCCCAGGGCCGGGGCCGGTTGGTGGCCCTGTAAATACTCAACCGCTCACCAAAATTGCAGCCCTTGACCACCCACAGGCTGCCTGTGGCCTGTGAGGCCACATGGTTCACGTTCAACTTTAACATCTTGGGGCACATGTCTTCTGCTGCCTGCTTTCTTTGGGCCCACGTGAAAGCTGTTTGGTCAGGGAACACATTGGGGTCCTCTGGCAGCACGGGGGAGGAGCTCCTGACCCAGGAGGTGTTGGCCTGAGGTGGGGTGGGCGTTCTCAGGAGGAATTCCTCTAAAAGCCTCAGTTTACATTTCTGCAAAATTGGGGTCATAACAGCTCCTCACACCTGGGGCCCCTGATTAGATGGTCATTGTATGGAAATTGTCTGTCCCAGTGACCATGCTACCTTGTTAATATTCCCAGATGCCATCGGGTACCTTTACAAATAAATATGCATCCCCCAGAATGACATATGAGATAGAAAACTGGAAAGAAAAGCTGTCCATTGTCAGAGGATACTGGCATCCAAGCTATGTCCAGGTGGATACTTGGTGAGTCACAACTCTTTCACCAAAGAACAGTCCAGGGCCACCCCACGTTGTACCATGCCAAGGTTGCCGTCCATGTTGTAGTCCACACAGATGGCAGCCCTGGAGTGTGCAGGACATAACCTGCAGGGCCACTTGAGTGCCCAAAGCTGTCACTGGGTGACATGCCGTCTCTGTCCTCGTATCGGGTTTACAAAGTGGAAGTCACAGGGCCAGGTGTGCCTGCTACCCTGTGCCTGCCGTTACGATTTGTGTTTGGTTTTGGGGTTTTGGCTTAGTTTTTAGGGCTTTCTGATCTAGGCAAACGATGACTGTCCTATTAACCAGTGGTGGTGTTCTCACCAAACGGCCAGCTAAGGAAACCAACTTTGAAATCTTGTCTTTGTTCTGAGATATGGCGCATCTATATGGAACCACCCAGGAGGAAGACAGGAACCCAGAATAAATGAACTTGCAGAGTAGGGTCCAGAGCGGTGGCAACTGTTCTACCCATGTACAATTCCCCCAGTAATTGCTCATGATCCAGCTGTGCCTCACCTTGACCTGAGGGGCCCCCGACGCCCCACAGTGGTCAACATTACCCTGGTGTTTGGCCTTCCCTTTTCAGCTCTGCCCCGTCCCCAGACCAGCCAGGGACTCCCTGGTAACTCCAGCTGGATCCTTCCTCCTCCCCACTTCATGGCACCCTGCTCAACTTCTAGAGCGCCATCTAGAGGCCAGAAGCCCCTGATGCTCGCTGGAGAGTGCAGTGCAAAAGCAAGGGCTCTGGAGTTCAGGGACCCAAGTTCAAGTTCCAGCTGCAACTGTACTTAGCCTTTTGGGCTTCCGTTTCTGATTCCCACCAAGCAGCTGCACATGCGTCACAGGATCCCTCTCTCCCTTCAGATTTGTGCAAGAAACACCCCACCTGTGTACACCGAGGCCCATAGCGATTCTGCACTTGCCCAAGGTTACATCCCAGTGATGGCCTGATCTCCTGAGCCCAGTCCAGGATTTCCCAAAGCCCTGGATGATGATGATGTGAGTCCCTCGGTGCAGTCCCAGGCCACCCTGCAGCTCCCACGCTGGTGGGGATGACGTAGCAGGAGGGAAAATCCAGAGGCCTCCAGGGAGGGGAGAAAACAGTTTCACCTCTGCTTCCTTCCCTGCCTCGGCCAGCTTCGCCCTGGGAAGGACGTAGGGCTCCTGGCAGAGCCAGTCAGTCCCTTCCTGTCCCGATGCCCGGTGGCTAAGGTTTAATGAGCATTTGAACCAAGCATTTTATACGCATTCTCTAATCCATTTCTCACAAAGCAAAAAGTAGCCACACTGTCCTTGTTTTACAGACGAGTCCCAAAAGGGTCCCTCTTGTCAGGGTCATACAGTTGGCAAGGGTAGAGGAGGCAGCCAGAGGCAATCTTATTTAATGCTAAATACCATCTCTTAACTGGGGCCAACTGTAGGCAGGCCAGCATCTGTGGTCATAAATAAAGTTTTATTGGAACACAGCCACACCATTCACATCAGTGTTGGCAGTTTACTTTTCCTGAGCAGATAGAGACCGCCGAGCCAAAAGTACTTACTGCGTGGCTGGCTACAGAAGCATCCAGCCTGCTGCGTAGCACTCTGCTGTGCTGCCTCTCATCTTACTCAGGTTCCCAAAGAGCTAAAATAAGAGGGGGACAGCAGAAAGAAGGAATGCATTCTGAGCCCTCCTGTCTGGCAGGAGCTGTCCTGGCTAATAGTTTTATTTAACTAACTGAGGAATAAGAAAAAGAAAAAATAAGCTTTGAACAGTCTTTTCATTACCTCTTTAAAGCAGAGGTTGGAAATATCCGGCTCTAAATATACATACATATTTATGCATTTGCATATATGGTAATGGAATTATATTTACACATCTGATAAATATATTAGACCTTTATATATAATATGCACAAATATTATACATTTTACCCATTTCTTCAACTGACAACTTTTCTTTAAAAACTGGAAATTTTCTGTAAGTGGAACTTTTTATGTCTTTTTTTTTCAGTCCTGGGGATTGAACTCAGGGCCTCATGTTTGTTAGGCGGCGCTTTACCTCTTGAGCCAGGCCCTAATCCTTTTACTTTTAGTTGGTTTCTCAAATAGGATCTTGTGCTTTTCCCTGTGCTGGTCTCAGACGGTGATACTCCTAGCTCTGCCTCTTGAGTAGCTGGGATTACAGGTGTGCACCAACATACCTCCAGTGTAACTTTTTTTTGCAGTACTGGGGCTTGAACCCATGTCTTCACCTTGAGCCACTCCATCAGCCCTATTTTTGTGATGGGTTTTTTTCAACATAGGGTCTAGTAAACTATTTGTCTGGGCTGGCTCAGAACCATGATCCTCTTGATCTCTGCCTCCTGAGTAGCTAAGATTACAGGTGTGAGCCACCATCGTCTGGCTCCAGGGTAACTTTTGAAGCAGAAATGTGGGTCTTACACTCGGAAGTCTGCTGTAGCTAGAGAGCTGCTTATTTGCTCCAAGTTTCTCTATTTAATGTTTCACTGTGTGTCTTATGACTGGCTGCTTATCTTAAATCACTTCCTCTCTGGGCCACTGCTTTACTTTTGTCTGATGCATGATTCCAGCCTGGTGGGTTTTATTTGGGCTTGTCAGAACTTGTATAACACCTTTTGTTCTGAGCACATATGAGGCTTCTGCTAAAATCTCAATAAGCATCACATTGTTAGCAAGTGTCAGAAACCCAGTTCAAGCTGGCCTAAGGGAGGGGAACATGTAATTGAAAAATCGGAAGCAGCAGAGCTTCAGACCTGGCTGCACCCAGGTGCTCAAATCATTTTCAGGAATCTGTCTCTTCCATTGTGTTTTAGTTTCACAATCTCAGGCAGAGTCTGGGCTCACCTGTAGCAAGGTATCCACCAACCCCCCCACTCCCCAGCAACTCCAGCAAAAGAGCAAGTGCCTTCATTGGTTTGTCTTAGGCCATGTGTCTATCCATGAGCCAGTCACTGAGGCCAGGAGCATGGAGTGCTATGATTGGCCAGGCCTGGGTCATGGGCCCTCCCCTGAGGTAGAAGGCTCAGCACACATGGACTTGGGAGGGTGTCTCCCCCTCAGAAAAATTAAGATGGCCACCCAGAAGGTAGGGAAATGGATGCAGTGCAGGGAAGAGCGACTGTCCTTGACATAAGCACCACCCTGCCTAAGCTGGGCCTCCCTCACAGGTGTCAGTGCTGGGGACTAGGAGGTGGGAACAAGTCACTCACCTTTCCATTGGCAAAGTCCCAGATGGCCTGGTAGGAAGCAGAGTAGCTCGCTGTCTTCTAAGAAGCTCCCAGAGCTGGGGGCCGGTCACCATCCCAGGAAAATGTCATCTCCTATCTTTGTGGGACCTTCAAATAAACCCCATTTCGAGAAGGATATGGCTTTGTCTGCCTCCATGGTGGAATGGCGGCAGGGGCAGGTACTGAGGAAACCTGGAGAGCAGGGGCACTTCAGGACAAGCCTGTCCGCCCTCCAGCTTTGTCCTCCCCTGGGCCAGTCCCTAGGGCTTCCTCCACACACTG